CTCCTACGTTTGCCTGAAAGTAGTGATAAAAAAAACCATCAGTGCCATGAAAATTCAACTGGAAAAGAAAGAGCCTGGCTACAACGAGCAGAAGGGAAGATCGAAAGTATCAAATGAAAAAAGTTCTTGGCTGGACTGTTACGCAATAAACATGAAGACAGCACAAGGAAACCTAATTCAACGAAAAGCGATTGAACCACATGTAGTCGCGCTGTCTATGTAAGCATGTACGAATGCATATATGTATGGTTGTGTGTACATATGTATGCACCTATATAAGCTTAAAGTACGGTAGCGGTACCAACCGCAAATGTCTAGAGTTGAAGACGCTGCTTGATGAAACTGAAGGAGCAGCCCAGAGATGGGCAATTTTACTTATTCATCTGAGTCCAAATTGTGGGTCTTAGTTACTAAAACACTAAGACATTTTAGGGAGCAATTTGGTCGGTCACGGGCTGAAGAATGGTTGCATATATCACAATTTAAGTGCATACTGAAAAGGACATAAACTGATAACAAAGGATCATATTACACATCACAGAAAATAACTCATGTCAACAACTAACAAAAAACTGTACAATACGAGTGTTCTTATTTTTCATCTCATATCACATTATTATTTTTGAACAGGCCCCAGTCTTTAGCATATTTTAATGAACGTTACCGCTAATGTCTTTATCAGGGAAGTCAAATTTGTACCCGTTGGAAGATTGATATTCCTTAAACTTTCAGGATGGAGCAATTTCTGACGTCTCTCTTTTCATGAAGTTGATGGTTTCGCACTGATCTCCATTTCCTTGCCACCAGTATGAGTACCTTATTTTAAAAGCAGAGTTAACAGCAGCTGTGCGGCAAGAATGGTGTGCAGTCGCATGTTTCCTTCTCATCGAGTGGTACTTAATTAGCAACCACGGTCGAAGAAAGGCCAGTGAATCCGACCGGGACAGGAATCCGCCACCTCTCTGTTCGACGATTCTCATACTGAGCAACTCTGGCCTAATGTTCTTATTAGCACAACTGATTTTTTAAATAAAATTACAGTCGATTAGGGTAACTTTGTAATTCAGGTTTATTTAGGCTTGGATGAAAAAGCGAGAAATGTACAAAAGGGAACCTTGAGTACACGCCACAACCAAAATAAGAAAGAGGATCTTTTAATGAATTAAAATAAATATTGGTGTCATGCATCTTGTGATACATCTTTAATATCTTCTTTGCACGCTTTAGCTCAATCAAACGAAATTTCATTGCTTATGTTAACCATTGTCGCAATTACATGGCTCCGCTGGCAAATGATACAGAATAATAAATAAATTCACAAAAAAGAAAGGACGAATGTAGAAGAAAGGGAAGGAAGAATGTAGAAGAAAGAATGTGGATTCATGGGTAAATCTAAATATGCTGACGAAAGATATCTAAATATTTAAATTAAAGAGACAAAATTACTTCAAACAGATTCAGATTTTACGCTTGCTCGTTCTGCACGCACTGTATTCTTCAGTCCTTGCAGAAAAACATACATGTCCAGGTGTCATGAACTGAGAGATCGCAACACAGCTTAAGTGAATATGATGCAGAGATGAAGCAGATCAATTAATACTTGTTAACTAGAACAGATATTCTCTGTCATTGCTATGGATAAAGCCCAAACCATTCCCTCTGATCAGAAATTTTTAGCAGTATAAACGAATTTGTAGCGTGGATTGGGAAAGCATCCAGAGACTTAATGACAAGCCATGCCAAAGAGTCTTACATGAATTTACTTGGAGCTGAATTTGCACGTATTGCTTTATACCGTGTATACTTATATATTATTTGACTCTTCCTCCTTACTGGTGAGTCATGAACCAAAGTCGATGTTTCTTCATTATTCTCGGTCTTCGCATTTTGCCTACACCGCTGACCAAGTAATTTAACCATTTGATCATCCCAGCGTGTTTCTGGACTATTGATAGACATTTGTGGTCCAGCAGAACCCAGCATTTAATTCTTAACGTCCACCGGTATTTTAGGCAAGAAGCATCATGAGACCATCTTCTCTTGACGTTGTAGAAGGCAAAAATCACGCTTGTTAGCGAGTGAATTGTCAAATTTTTGCGTTCAGAACGTGAGAATGGAATTGGCACAGTTTTCGCTACATCCATTTG